GATTCATGAGCAGGACATCTTTGTGGATAGTGGAATCGATGGAAACACCCATGGCAGCCAGTTTCTTCACTGCATCTCCTACAGCTCGAATGTAGACGTCTATATCCTTGGTAGGATCATGGGGGATGGAGTGCAGCTCTGCCCTGGCAGCCATCCTGGTGCTCATGCTCGATTTTTCGAAGTGGGCCTTGAGGGCAGCCCAGGCATCAGTAGCAGACTCGAAATCATCCAGGAGGGGCTGGTACTGCTCCTCTATCTTGGTGTAGAGGTAGGGGAGAAGCATTCTGTCCAGAGAAACTTGGTCAGACTCATCTGCTTTTGGCCCTTTTCCCATAACCCAAAGTGCGTCCACTCCCAGCAAAAACACCTTGAATCCCTTCCCAAACTTGGCCCAGTTGTCCTTCCCCAGCATAGGAACAGTGGTGAGAACAATGGTGAGGGCTGAGGTGATGGTAGGCGCCATGGTGGTGCAGGGGGAAGCGGTAGGAGCGTCGGGGAAAACCAGAACAGAGGGGAGAAGCAAAAAGAGCAAAAAAAGAGCAAAAAATGCGCAGAGGGAGCAAGGAAGAGGGTAGATGGATAGGTCAGGGCGGGGCCTATAACCTGTTGAACACAGAAAACACAGATGGGAGCCGCAGGAGGCTAGGGGCACAGATGGGAGGTGAAAAGCCCAGTCTGTCACATTGATCTAGGGCTATGTACTGATAGTCACATAGCTAAGTAACACTCTTTTGTCTGAACCAAGCAAGACATCCTTTCCACACTTCAACAGTCTCACTCTTGTTCTTCATGTGGTATGCTACCTTGAAGCCAGTGTGATCATCAACAAAAGTCACCCTGTGCTTCCAGCCCTCGCGGGTGGGCACAGAGTAGCTCTTTAGATCAGAGTGAATGAGATCAAGAGGCGCTCCAGAACGATGACCAGTTGAAGGAAACAGGCCAGCATTCAGCTTGCCAAAGAGGCATGGCTCACAGATGGGGTCTGGCTTCCTGGCAGAAGCAAGCCTCACACCAGTAACCAGCTCTTTATCCATGACTAGCTTGGTATCACTGTGGTGTCCAAGCCGCCTGTGCATCAGGCTGAGGTCAATGGGAAGAGTCCCAGCTGTAGAAACCAGTGCTGAACCAGCAGAAGGGAAACCAGTCTCTCTCACAAATGCCTGACCCTGCTCTGAGATATCTGCCACAAAGTACACTTCACCATTGCGCTTGAACAGGATGTAGTTCTCCTTCATGAGCACAGTGTAGTCATGGTGAACTGACAGGTATGTAGTGGAGATCAGATTGTGTGACAGAGCAGGGACATAGAGCACATTGGAGAGGATCACAGACCGGCTCCTGGCATGTCCATGGATCAGTGGCCTAAGCACTATCTGTTGAGGATGGGTTTTGGACTTGATCACTCTCTGGTGATTGGGTCACATGATCATCTGATTCCATCTGATCCTATCACTGATCACATCACTGATGATATCTGATTCCATCACTGTTCCCATCATTCCATCATTCTGGTCACATGACTCCAAGTCACATGATTCCTATACAGTCACATGCTCCATCCACATAGATAGTTCTTGCCTCCCTGGAGTTCTTCAGCTTCTCACTGTTGACTTCAGGTCTGTAGATTCTTTTCTTGTCTTGTCTTGCAATGCAGAGCTTCTTACTGTTGACTCCAGTCCTCTCTGCATTTCCTGCTTCAACAGCACATTGCCTTGCACTTCCTGATATCGAAGCCTAGCATGGCTGAGACAGTGCGATCCATGTCCACTGTTTACAAGGTAGATTATGAGATTATGCGCCAGCAATTTGCACATCTATCAAAAGACATTCTACATCAGACAAAAAAGAATATCAAGGGCTTTCCAGAAGACCTAGTATTTCCTGAGAAAACCCGACCATGTAAAGGATGTGTGCAAGGGAAAATGTACCAATGTGCCTTCCTGCCTTTCAAAAAACAAGCAGAGAATCTGTTTGATTTGATCTACTTGGATCTTAAGCAATTTCCCACAGTGTCTTATCACAAGTACCGCTACTTCATGAGCTTCTTTAATGAAGCACTCTTCTATGACTAGACAGTATGACTTGCACAGAAATCCAATGCCAAGCAAGCTGTGCGCAATTTTATAGCGATGGTCAAAAACCAGTTCAATGTCACTATTGGGAAGCACATTCTAGTTGACGCTGTTCCAGTGTGGTACAGCTCAGACACACATTAGCTTCTAGTGGCTGCTGCCAGCAAGTTTGAGCATCTGCAACTGTTGCATATAACGTGACTAAACACCTGCAGTCACATCAATATCAAACTGTTGAAGTGTAGAAGGGATGTCTTGCTTGGTTCAGACAAAAGAGTGTCACTTAGCTATGTGACCATCAGTACATAGCTCTAGATCAATGTGACAGACTAGGCTTTTCACCTTCTATCTGTGCCCCTAGCCTCCTGTGGCTCCTATCTGTGTTTTCTGTGTTCAACAGTTATGGGGGATAAAGTGCAGCTCAGCCCTGGCAGCCATCCTGGTGCTCATACTTGATTTCTCAAAATAGGCCTTGAGGGCAGCCCAGGCAGCAGTAGCAAACTTGAAATCATCAATGTGTTGAACACAGAAAACACAAATAGAAGCTGCAGGAGGCTAGAGGCACAGATGGGAGACAAAAAGCCCAGTCTGTCACATTGATCTAGGGCTATGTACTGATGGTTACATAGCTAAGTGACACTCTTTTGTCTGAACCAAGCAAGACATTGTTGAAGCAGGAAATGCAGAGAGAACTGGAGTCAACAGTAAGAAGCTCTGCATTGCAAGACAAGACAAGAAAAGAATCTACAGACCTGGAGTCAACAGTAAGAAGCTGAAGAACTCCAGGGAGGGAGGAACTATCTATGTGGATGGAGCATGTGACTGTATAGGAATCATGTGATCAGAAGTCATGTGACCAAAATGATGGAATGATGGGAACAGTGATGGAATCAGATATCATTAGTGATAGGATCAGATGGAATCAGATGATCATGTGACCCAATCACCAGAGAGTGATCAAGTCCAAAACCCATCACCAACAGACATCCCTTCCACACTTCAACAGTTTTCTGTGTTCAACACCCAACATACATGTTGTCTACCTAGTACAAGCACTGCTTGGTTGCCTAGTGCACAGTTGAACCATCAGGCACGCAGACAGAACAGATGGGCACCCCCTCATGCCTATTAAACGTGAACCACATGCATGGCACATGGTAGTGCTGCACCTCAATTGTCTTGATGAGCATGTGCATAGTGAGCTCAGCAAAGAGATTGTAGCAGAATTGAGTGTCTATCATAGCATCTGTAGCAGGCTGGTAAGTGTACAACAATCAAAAATAAGACCACTCACAATTAATTTGCACGTTGCTGAGTGTGGTGGACTTCCACTTGGAGCATTGCTAAGCTTTGTCCACTTGTATCCTGAAGATGTATTTGGCCATGCTGGCCATCCCCATTGGCTGGTAGGCTTGGGTCTTGAATTTTGGCAGTAGGGAGTCTGGATCGTGGAGCATGGCAAGGACACCAAGCTCAACAAGATAGGTGATGTTGATGGTGTACGTATGATAGAAGACCAGCAGGTCATTTGCCAGACCAATGCCAGCAAAGATGACATTCTTGTTAGTTAGGATTCAGTAAACCTTGACCAGGATATCTGTTAATTGTTAGTATGTGAGTGGGGGGCAAGAGTTGAGATATATTACCATATTCAAGCGAATTGAGGTGAATTACATAGGTGTAGTCGTGTATCACAAGTTGAATGACTTTAACCTTGTATAGCGGTCAATAAAGAGACAGCAAACAATTAAATGCTTCCACCTAAGCCTTCTCAGAGCTGAGGGTGTACTTAGTGTTAAACCCAAATAGACCCTACTGACTCTCAAGGAGCTTGCGAGTTGCACTTCTGGCTAGTGGTGATATAGTACACACAGCAGTGTGGATCAGAAATATAAGTCTAAGGAATAGTCAGAATGGTCCAGTGGTGATCTAGGCTGACTCACCAACAGGGGATAAGCAGCTATGGTGTGAGGGACAAATGAGAGCAAGGATGAGAGGGGGGAAGTAAGAAAGAAAGTAAGAATGCATCTAGCTCCCTACTTTATATATCCCCAGACCTATCAGTAGGACTAATTAGCACAACAACTTCAAATGAATATATGTGCGTTCAATTGTCAGGTTTGCAGTGATGGCACAGACTTTGCAAGGCCAGGGAAACTGGAAGTGAGGGTAGCAATACATTTTTTCGAATGTAAAAACGTATTCTAGTGTGTTTCAGAAACATTGAACCCCTTGCGTCTCTATATACTAGGTATAAACACACAAGTTATGGGTGTGCTCAGACATTGTGTATGCCCATGGAAACAGCTGAAGCTGAAAATTTATATTCTGTATCCTCAAGTATGTAGTGAACAATCCATGTAATAAAAATGAGAATGTCATGTAAACTAGCTGTTTACAATGCTTACTTGATAGTATACCTAATTACTTGAAGAAACGCTTGCTAAAATGCTGTACACCAATTTGTTACACAGCCATTACCACTTTTGCAATGTTCTCGTGCACGACCTCCTGCCTCTGTCTGTTGTCTTAGTTGAATCCCCAGTGCAGATCTGTGCTGTTGCCGTTTGGCGGATTGGACCAGGGTGAGTCCTCCAAAGACTCAGCCGCCAAGCGTCAGCTAGGACAGAAACACAGGTGTGTGTTTCTTCCAGAAACGCGGTCCGATGTGAAGCAGTGTGGTAGTCCCCATGACAAGGGCCATAGGTGCAATCATGACCACACTGCGGAGTCCCCAAACTGAGCGCCTCAGTTTCCGTTATAATAGTAGTATGTTGGGAGTAGTCTAGTAATGTACATGTTGTGAAGCTATGTCGTTTTAACTGTTCTGTTCTTGTCCACCCCAGGATATTTCTGCTTTAACCGTTTCGCATGTAATGGGGCCAGAATCTCTAGCTTCCTCCAATAGACCAAAAATGCATCAGACTCCTACCGGCCCATGACCTGAACCACTGCGGGATCTACTTCTGAGATAAGCACTTCCGTCGTTCCTCTGATAGGAAAACAGTGTCTAGTGAAACACTTGTGGCCCAGCCTTGACCAGACCTTGTTACATCGCGCAATGAATAGCTTGTCTGAAAGGCATTTCAGTGCGTTCTTCTTGTCTTGGAAAGAGAAGAGAGGGCATAAATTGGGGGGTTGATTGAGGTTGATATATGCTGTCAGCGCCTTGATGGGGTCAGTCCTGTCGTCTTGGCAGCAAAGGACAACAATATCGCCCTTACTACCTTTGGTTTTGGTGCGTGGAAGGAAGATTCGATGTGAGCCAGCCAGCAATAGAGCTTTGCTGAGGTGTTTTCTGAGTGATATTGAGTCAGCCTCATAGCTCAATTGAGTCTTTGACAGTACTTCGCCCATGCGTAGTTGACCCCAGAACATGCTCGTTGCTGCTGCCAAGACCACCACATCCAGAGGGTCTCTTTCATCAAGGTGCACATCAAGTTGTTCCAACATCTTGTAGGTGATTGGAGGGCGTTCTGGAAGGCGTAATGAATCAGGTGTGAGGTTCTCTGCTGCCTTCATGCATGCATTAAGACGTGCCCCGCCATGCCACGGAAAACTGTCCATTATGTGCCACACCTTCATGGCCGCTACTGCACCCCTGATAGTGACACCTGCCTTCTCGCCTGCATACTCCAACGCATAACTGCATAGTGTATCCTCCTTGGCCGGTCCCCACTTGTTTTCCGGCAGGTTGTTCTGGATGCACCACTCGATGAAATCTTGGATCATTGGGCTGTGTTTGTTGCGTGTCGACCCTGCCCATGCATAAATGATTTTCTCGCGTATATCCTTCTCTCTCTGCCTTGTAAGGTGTTGCGTGAGATCTCACTTTTGGAGCCCGTTGTCTTGGTATCGCGAGACGGAGTAGGTGGTGAAAAAGGGGTATATGTACTAGTATTTGCCCGCCTTTATTTGCTATCGTGCCAAACTGTTGATAAAATGGCTGAACCAGGAATTGAACCTGGGACCTCTGACTTGGATCGTCCAGTGCTCTAACCACTGAGCTATTCTGCCTTGGTGCTGGGATTCCCAACTCCAACACAAACGACTCCTCTATTGCATTCATTGTACAGCTTGTAGAAATGGGATGAGCTCAGACAAAAGGTCTGGTGGTTTCTTAATATGGTGCTTGAGCGGTGGGAATATGCCCCTGGAAGGTCCATCAGCTGGGTTGTCCTCTGATTGTATCCACTCGATGTCGATCTAGATGTTGCAGTTGTGTATGAGCTAAACAATCCGTTAGAGCACTGTATTCTCTTCAACGCTGTGGGACTTTCCTGCCTTAAATACACCTACCACACCTTGGTTGTCTGACCGCAACTTGAATCGTGCATGCCTGTGGCCCGCATTTGCAAGCATACGGATTGCCAATTCCACCATGACCATTTCACCTCATCTGATGTTCCGGCCTGTGGTCCTCCAGCCGTCTCTGTACTCCCAAGCTAGCCACCGTTGTTTATAAACCAGGCCAATTCCCCATAAGGTAGAGGCGTCCACGAAGATTGTGCCTTCCTGTAGCGCTGGTGGGTTCCTGATTGGGAGGCAGACTGGAATGGTGAGGTGCAAGATCCACCATTTGGTATCTTCTGTTGCTTGCGAAGGGATCTTGAGATATGTGAACGGATTTGTGAGGTGGTTGAAAAGGGCCACGTATCAATATAGGCTGACTAGGCACAATTTCCCTTCTGGGACTACCACCACTATGTGGTTTAGTGTACCTATGACCGTTTCCAATTCTTTCCTGCCTGATGATCCCGCTCCCAACCAAGTGCGTAAGCGATGAATATATTTGGCTCATTTCTTCTCTGGCAGTGTGCATGTCCTACCATTGATGTCCCACTCAAAACCATTGTAAGCAAAGGTTGAGGCAAATAGCGTGTATTTCTTCATCTCCCATGGCCAGCCTAATTCCTCTTCCAGGTTCACAAATAGTGATTCGTCATACCGATGCCTATAGGGGCTTGTTGTGTTTGCCACTGGTTTTCAGAAGAATACAAAGTCATCCACCCACTTGAGGATCTTGTCCACTGATAGAAACTTCAGCATCTCTACCAATAGCTCTGCAAGCCTGTCAAAGACGCCTGGGGAGCTTGAGGCTCCGAACGAGAACACATGGTCCAAATGGACCCTGCTGCGCCATAGAATGGCTAGGAAGGGACAGTCTTCTGGAGAAGTTGGTACGATCCGGAATGCGCTCTTAACGTCAAAAACTAATGCTTGTGTGCCTGGTGGTGCTTCGGCAATAGTTCTATAGCATCTCTGCCATGTTGAAAGTATGCAGGGGAAGTGGTGCTTGTCAATCATACTGTTTATTGAGGGAATAACGTTGTTGTTTCGAGGAAATGACTGTATGCTATGAGTGTGTGTCCCAATCAGATGCTGTACTAACATGATAATTGAACATTCTGTTGAACACAGAAAACACAGATGGGAGCCGCAGGAGGCTAGGGGCACAGATGGGAGGCGAAAAGCCCAGTCTGTCACATTGATCTAGGGCTATGTACTGATGGTCACATAGCTAAGTAACACTCTTTTGTCTGAACCAAGCAAGACATCCTTTCTACACTTCAACACATCTGCCACTTGCTCATTGGGTTGGATGGGTCTTTCTGAATTGCACCTACTAGTGAAGTGCGAATCATTCTAATTTGTTACTCAAGAAACTTTGGGTTGAAGCCGTGCGATATTCTGCCAATTTCGATTTCCGATTTGAGGTATGCGTCAATGATGTCTGCGTGATTGATAGCACATTAGAGGTCACAGGGAAAGAACGAGTGTTGCAAGTGATTTTGGGACTGAATGCCATGGGAAAAACCTAACCAGATGCCTTTTGGTACATCCGCATACTTGTCACTACGTCCCATCTCTGAAATACGCGACTCCCAGGTGTCTGCTTTTAATGTGGTGATGATCGGAAAGAATGAGTTATGCACCACACTGTTGTGTGGAATGAGCTGGCATTGCCGATCCTGGGCCACCTGCTCCGCAGAGCAAGCAAATGTGCTTGTATGCGCAGAGTTGGCGGCTACATGATTTGATGTTAAACCGCTGGCAGACTCTAATCTCAGGGATGGGACACTCGAAGTATCCGCCTTGCTCGCTGGGTCGCATCCACGGGGGATTCTTTGATTGGCAGTGCTTCCCTTCATGTTTCCCTTGAACTCCACAGACCCAACATCTCTCAGACACGTCCACTGGAGGCTTCAACTGGCGCTGTTGCTCAAACAGAGTAGTGGATAGTGTTGAAGTGTGGAAAGGATGTCTTGCTTGGTTCAGACAAAAGAGTGTTACTTAGCTATGTGACCATCAGTACATAGCCCTAGATCAATGTGACAGACTGGGCTTTTCGCCTCCCATCTGTGCCCCTAGCCTCCTGCGGCTCCCATCTGTGTTTTCTGAGTTCAACAGATAGTTGTGGAGGCCGAAAGGACCGTAGCTCCTTCAGCTCTGACCTTAGAGTGCTGAGTTCCTTTGCCATCTCTTGTTGAGGATGGGTTTTGGACTTGATCACTCTCTGGTGATTGGGTCACATGATCACCTGATTCCATCTGATCCTATCACTGATCACATCATTGATGATATCTGATTCCATCACTGTTCCCATCATCTCATCATTCTGGTCACATGACTTCTGATCACATGATTCCTGTACAGTCACATGCTCCATCCACATAGATAGTTCTTGCCTCCCTGGAGTTCTTGAGCTTCTTACTGTTGACTCCAGTCCTCTCTGCATTTCCTGCTTCAACAGGTTATGGGCCCCTGCCTCTAGAGTGCCTCTGAGTCATCTATTCTGAGATTTTCGAGTTTTTTCCATTCTCTGATTTTCTCTGCCTGCTGCTGCCTGCTTGCCCCAGTCCTGCTACTGCAGTTGACATCTCTGCTCCCCTCTGTTCTGTTTTTTTTTCTGCTCTTATAGTGTCTGTGGTTCAGGCACTAGTAGTTGGGACTCTATCCTTAAGTGGGTGTGCTCTTTGGTCCATCAGGAAACACCAGGTAGTCATTCCTGTGATCCTGAGGTTGAGACAGCTAGGTGCCTGAGATCAACACACTCCTGAGAGCCTGTAGCTACATACATAGATCCCCTCCATCATTCTGGGCGCATTTTTGAGCACAGCATGGCATCAAATTCCCACTCTCATCCATCAGTCTTTTCTCCTTCTGCTGCCCTGGCAGCTGCACCTGCTTCTGCTCAGCCATTGTGTTATGCCTGTTATCAACATGGCCACACACTTCTAAAATGCCCAGAGTTTCTGTCTCTCCTAGAGGACAATGTGGAAGCAGGAAATGCAGAGAGGACTGGAGTCAACAGTAAGAAGCTCTGGATTGCAAGACAAGACAAGAAAAGAATCTACAGACCTGGAGTCAACAGTAAGAAGCTGAAGACCTCCAGGGAGGCAAGAACTATCTATGTGGATGGAGCATGTGACTGTATAGGAATCATGTGATCAGAAGTCATGTGACCAGAATGATGGAATGATGGGAACAGTGATGGAATCAGATATCATCAGTGATGTGATCAGTGATAAGATCAGATGGAATCAGTGATCATGTGACCCAATCACCAGAGAGTGATCAAGTCCAAAACCCATCACCAACACTCCCCCGGGATGAGATCAGTCTCTCAGCCTCTCCCCCGCAATCTCATCAGTGTGCGCAACCTTGCCACCTGAGGCCGAGGCAGCGCCTTGGTCATAATGTCAGCCAGCTGGTCCTGCGTCGGCACATACTTCACATCAATGAACCCTCTGGCCACTTCATCTCTAAGCCAGTAGTGTGCCAGGTCCAGATGCTTCATACGCCCATGGTGTTCAGGATTCTTGGACACAGATATGGCAGACTGGTTGTCCATCATCAAGGGAGAAGCCCCAGACACACCATGCTCCAGCTCATGCAGCAGATTGCGCATCCACTTGATTTCCTTCCCAGCATCTACACCAGCCACATACTCTGCCTCAGTGGTAGACAGAGAGATGGTGGACTGCAGCTTGCTCCTCCAGCTCACTGGTCCACCAGCCATCATAATGACATACCCCCCAGTGCTTTTCATAGAGTCCTTGTCTCCAGCATGATCAGCATCAGTGAAGGTGGTGAAGAGGTCGTCAGGATGGATGTGGGTGGCTGGGTCATAGAGGGTGGGCGAGGATTTGGAGTAGGTGATGCGGAAGTCAAGGGTGCCCTGGATGTATCGAAGCAGGTGCTTGACTGCCTTCCAGTGCTCTTCACCAGGATTGCTATTGAAGCGTGCCAACACCCCCACAGCATAGGAGATGTCAGGACGAGTCTGACAGGCCAGGTACATCAGAGAGCCAACAGCAGACAGATAGTTGCCCTTGAACTGCTTGGACTCCTCCTCAGTCTTGGCTCCCATCTCCTTGGTTAGAGACAGACCAGGCAGCATGGGGGTGTCCACAGGCTTGCAGTCAGCCATGCCATATTGCTCCAGAAGGTTCACTGCATACTGGCGCTGGGAGATGCTGATATCTCCAGTGTGCTCATCAGGCTCTATCTTGATCCCCAGAAGCCACTCTGTGGGACCCAGATCCCGCACCTTGAAGGCCGTGCCAAGCTGGGCAATGACCTTGTCAATGTCAGCATCATGCTTTGCAGCAATGGTGCCATCATCAACATAGATGGGCAGGATGACGCGGACCACACCATCAGAGTAGATGTGGCAGGAGCTGTCAGACTTGATGCACTTGAACCCCATGGCAGTCAGCTTGGCAACC